GTATATGGATAGTGTAAGTTCTATGAATGAGCATAATGTCAATGGTGGGAAACTGTAAATTCGTGTAGAATAAACAGACTGTAGGAACTTCGTAGGAAGGGGGAAAAGAGAAGAGGAGAGAAGAGAGGCGCAGTATATGGGTAGTGTGAGTTCTATGAATGAGCATAAGGTCGATGATGGGAAACTGTAGAATAAACAGACTGTAGGAACTTAGTAGGAAGGGGGGAAAGAGAAGAGAAGAGAAGAGAGGACCACACACACACAGAGAGAGAGAGAGAGAGAGAGAGAGAGAGAGAGAGAGAGAGAGAGAGAGAGAGAGAGAGAGCCTTGTTGTTAATTGGAGGAAAAAGGACCCACGGATCAGTCAGACAAATCCCTCTTGCAGTGTCTTTCCGCACTCAGTCTGATCTGGAATGCTTGAAACAGATTCGAAACTTCGAAAGAACCAGAGTGACACTTAAAAGACAGACGGTGGCAGAGTAGAGAAGAATTCAACTAGCCTGAAATGGTGGCGCTTGTTATGCTTTGGCGCTTCAATCTTTGGTATTAGCCTACTAGGTGTGATGTCTTTGGCGCTTCAATCTTTGGTATTAGCCTACTAGGTGTGATGTCATTATTAGCTGTGTTGCCACGTATCGTTTGCGTACTAGCCGCCAAGGTTCATACACTGAAATATAAGCATGGAAGCTTCAACAGTGAGAATCAAAGAGCTTGCTGAAATAGTGTGATCTTAACTAGTAGAGGAGGACAGTAGTTTGGATTCATTTTGGAGGAAATGATAAACATTTCTTGAACAAGGACTTTTCTTGCCCTGGGATATCATTGAAGCAGAGCACTAGCAATCTCCTCGCAGTACGTAGAAGAACTCGTGCACAGTGAATAACTAGTGCAGATTTGGTCAGCTGGCTTGGTGCAGCTTGTGGTAATTTAAGCAGAATAGCAGACCTGTTTGCTTTTTGTGAAGATCATTTGTAGGGTTTGCACGAGCTTCGCAGTTGAAGGGACGCTAGACCCGCATTTCAGAATGAGACGGGGTAATGGCCCCAGAATTGTGAGGACCCTGGCCTCTTCCATATTTTGGAAATGAAATGGAAAAAAAAAGGAAACACAATCAAGAAGGGTGTGCCTTTTCTTACTATTTTTTTAAGAAGAAAATCTCAGCTCATACGGACACCACGAGCACGCTTTATTCCTGTTTCTTTCCTACAACAACATCCTGTGAAGGCCTGCGAGCCTGTTGTGATAAGAGCCCCAACGGGCTCGAGGCATTCCTGTGGACGACTCCAGTCCAATGCTGGGGAGCTTCACCTGCTGGAAACCCGGTCCGGCCTCCCATGAAATACAGTGACCACAAAACCTGGCTGGCACTGCAAGTGGCAGCATTACCTAGTAAACAACCAATGTCAAAGACCCACAGGATCTCTCAGTCCAAAGGCCACCTGATCTCAGTGTTTAACTGATCCTTTTGCTTTTTCTTTTCGCAAGAACATCCACAATGTCATCGGTTGATAGGGATGGGGATATAAGCACCCACCCCTACCAACCCTGCACATGACACCTGCTGGAAAGCGGGACCAGCGTTCCTGATAACATCCAAAGACGAAAATACAGGAAGGTGAAAGGTCCGGAAAGGAGGTCCACCTAATCCTCCTCCATTACATCCCGAAGAGAACTCCGAGGCCAATCTGACACCTCATCCCACAGGGCCACAGTCCACATTCCCTTTTTGGTTTTTCTTTTTTTTTGGGAGAACAACCCGGCGAGTGGATGCTAGGGTACCGACGGGTGCTGATAAGAGCAGGCACCACTAGCACTGCCGGGGAGGCTCCATCTGTTAGTGGAGAGGGGCACCTGGCCCCTGGCACCTGGCAGTGCTGGAAAGCGGGTCCAGCATCCCTTTTTTTTTGTTTTTTTTCCTCACCTCAGTACTGTAGTTGTTTGTGTGTTTTTTGTTTTTATTATTATTTTAAGGCTAGGATGACGCCACTAGGGGGGGTAATACGAGCAACCTGAGGCTCCCATAGTGCGCGCATTCTGGATAGTTGTTTGTGAACTTTGTGTGGATTGACATCATGTAGTTGCAATGAAAGCCAGCTACCAGGCTCACCTACAAAGTTTAACATGAAGTTTGACAGGTATAACTACACAGCAGTCTGAGTTGCTGGCCTACATGATACCCTAGGGTCGGTGATGGTATACACACTTGTTGTCGCAGTCGTTTATGTGAACTGCCAGTAGGATGTACTTGTGATAACACTAAGGCCTGGACCCCACTGGAAAAAGGATGGAAAAAGTGGTCGGCCAAAAAAATAGGGTAAAGAATTTTGGGAAGCTGGAAAGCAGTTTTGCGGGGACCCCATCGTGGAGGACCAAATGCACTTGGAAAACCCTTTGGAAATCAGTTGAGCCAATGGCAGCCGGTTTCCGTTGGCACTCGTTTGTTTTGTTCTTGTTTCCTCTTTTTTTACTTTGTTTTTGTTTTGTTTGGTGCACTCTTTATTGCTATTGGCTGCGGCCTCCTGTAAGACTTTTCCAGCCTGAGGAACGACATGCCCTCTCCCCTACCCTCTAGAGTCGGCGCAAAATTGCGGCGAGGAATCCTCCCGTGAGACTTTTCCAGGCCACGGACTATGTGAACGTTAGTGAAACCACGCCGC